GATTGTTAGCTCAAAAGCTTTTTAGGTCAGGAATGCTCATGGCTTTTGGTAGCTCCTCCAGGGCAAGTGGTTGAGATGCAATTTGTTGGGGAGTTTGAAATGTATTGTAAGGTAATATTGGCTTGGAGCATTCCTTGAAGTCTGTTTGCCCACGATTATCCTTAAGGTTCGGCATTCATTATGCATGGATTATGTGGAAGTCCGCAATTCCACTGACTTTGCTAATACTGGCATGAGGTGCATTCCTTCACTGTTTCTCTCCGTTCCCCATATTCTATGTATTTGCAGATATTGCTGTTACGGTACCCCCAGGACAAGTATACGATCTGCAACTACAGACTTAGTTGTCCTTTTCCGCAGCTTCTACCGTGGAGGTCGCGGATTTGAAGCAAGAGCTCGTGCGCTTCCAGCGAACGGTCAGTGGGCCCCGTGGAACCCCTGGACACCTTGCACGGCTAGTTGCGGTGCATGCGGTTCTCGAATGCGGACTCGTGTCTGTCCCTATGGAGCATGCGCGTATGTATTATACACTTCACTTCCTTTTTCCTTCGTCAGCACCTTGTTAGAATTTCCATGCATTTGCACACCATACATCAAATCCAGAAAACTCATAGCTCACCTATCACTCTCTTTCCTACCATTAGGAGAAATTGCGCTTTCAAACATGGGTGTGACTACACCCTACGCGCATAAAGCTGATGGGTGGAATGCAAACCTCACAAATGCATGATTTTTCACTTTAGCATCCAGGGGTGGAATGTATTAAGATCAAATTAAGATCAGCTCTCCTATTCAGGAAGTTAGCTGATCAGGGACCACTTCCTGCACCCACGATGGGGGTTGCGGAGCTGATTGCGCGAGCAGAAACACAGGGTGCGCTAACAATGGATGCCGACGCATCCGAAAAGGCTCACTGACTTATTTGTAGCGCTCTAGTTTGCTTCAAGTGTCACCACTCTTCCAGTCTTTGCTTGTTTCATACTTTTCATAAACGTATTCGCGACAAGTAATTATTTCTAGTGCGCAGAACGCTCTGGGTTTAGAAGATCCCTATCTGCAGATGTTAAATTTCATTTTGATTTTCAAAAATACTTTTTGGCCTTTTCACATGTAGTTGCACAAAATGATTATGATTATTGATTGGAACTACGCCAAATTGGAATTGTGAGAACTGCTCATTACGCAGATATTTTATAAGCTACTAATTTCTTAGTTGGTTATTTTGCATAACTATGTACTGGGAGTAACACACGTTTATATTCGAGGCTGGGTTATAGTTGGAAGATTGCAGACGTATTCTTTTTCAAGCTTACCTCAAGAAATATTCTAAAATTCGTGGACGTAACACGTCACTATAACTATAATTAGCAGCAATCTTTGCATTTTTTAAAATGCTCCCGAATAGGCTTTGCTTCCTAGCTGGGGCATATTAGACTATTCTATATGAAATTGCTTGATTGGCTCGCTATGTGCTTTCGACTAAACCTATTCCATAAGCCAGCGCTCTAAATAGCTAGCGAACATAACACAGAGCAATTTTAAGCACGTATGTCACCCAAAACAACCACAAAAGCAAGAAAGAGCTTTACCAGTCAAAAACGGGTGAAAAAAATCAAAGAGTACGTGTCAGTGAGACTCCTATCGAATAAAAGCACTGACTAAAGCAAGAATGGCTAAAAACCGTGAAGCAAAATAACGACGTGAGTGCACAATTTGTTCGATCTGGCAAGTTTGGATACATTGGGCGTGGTTAGTATTTCAGTTCCCGACCTCAAGAACTGGGGTGCTGTTGCCCAATTAGGCAAAGTGTGCAAGTTTTTCTTGCATCGTTTGAATGAACGTTCTTCCCGATAGGGAGCTAATTTTCTATTGTAAAAGCGGACCCGACCCTCGACAGGGAGATTGATACATTCCACCCCAGAGCATGTTATTTCCACTGCACACAAAACCATGAAATTAATAACGAAATGCTACTGAAGGTCAAGATGAGAGACTCCATAACTAGGGTATACTGTTGCTTTGTAGCATCTCAAATGTATCTAAACATAGACGTATTAAGAGGACAAAGCATCGTTTAGCATTGCCAAGCTGAACTCTGCAATGTCGACATTTGAACTTACTGAATTGCAGCTCATTCAGTCAACCAGGGCTTTGTATAGAGTACAGTGTTTCTCCTTTTTATGACTACAGCGTTTATCTCAACGAAAACTCAAATTTTTGTGCTAAAGTTGGCCTGACTTTCCAAATTCGCTTTTTAAAAATCCTTCTCTCTCTTTTCTTAGAAGCATCTTTTAAATGGAACTCTTTTTAATAGTGTAGACGGTTTAGCATTTCGTTACGCACTGCTAAAAACTCCGCAAACATTGCCTGCTACAGTGAATTCGAGAGCCTCATCCCTAATTTTTTCACCTTGAATCATAAACTTGCTTCGGACAGGGTTAAACCAAATTTGAGACAAAAAGAGAATAGGGGAAAGAATTGTATCTGAATTTAAACTTTTTTCGAAAGTGGAAGTAATTAATGCTTTTCACTATTTAGTGAGGAAATCTGATTTATCCTCATGCTATAGACTTTCTGTTGAAGATATATACAGTTTAGAATTTGCTTTGCCTTCGCTCGAAATATCGAGAGAATGTTTGACAAGCAAAATGTGTAGTTACTACTTTTTGAAATTTGAGT